GAGGCCAGCCTGGCCTACATAATGAGTTCAAGTTCAGCCTACTGCATAGTGAAACCTTGTTTCAAAAAGAAAACAAAAAAATGAAAAGGTCCAATGTATTTTCTTTCTTGGTTTTTGTTTCTTTGTCTGAGGTACTGGGACTTGAACCCAGGGCCCTGCACTCAGCTAATTCCTCAACGCTTTTAAATTTTATTTTGTTTTGAAACTGTCTCATTAAATCATTAAGTTGTGCAGGCTGGGCTTTCACCTGGGATCCTCCTGCCTCAATTTCCCAGTGCTGGGATTATAGGCCTGAGCCACAACACCCAGGAGAAAGTGTCCAATTTCATAGTAAGTTTTGAAATCAGGAAGTAGAATTGTTCTAGCCTTGTTAGTATTTTTCAAGGTAAGAGCTTGGCTGTTTTGGCTATTTGGGGTATTAATTTTAGTTAAGATTTTGTTATATCTGCAGAAAAAAATCTTTGAGACTTTTACAGAGATTGCATTGAATGTGTGGAATGCTTTATGTGGTAAGTCTTCTAACGTATGGGCATGAGATGTCCACTTACTATTACTTGCTTAATTTCTTTCACCAATATTTTATAGATTTATGTATAACTGTATTCTTAATTACATATCTTCCTATTTTATTCTCTCTGGTGCTATTCTAAATGAAATTAAATTCTCATTCATTCTCAGTGTATAGAAATGCAATTTTTTTTGCATTCTGTTCTGTATTCCAAAAGGGATGACTGGGGGGATAGAAAAGGGTAGGACCACATCAAGACATAAACCCAGGAGGGCAAACATTAATTCTGGCATGCAGGACACAGAGTGATCAGCAGGCTTGCTGTTTGCTGCCCACATTGTGTCTCTCCAGCTGAAAGAACAGTTCCTTGACTTTCCACTTCTATCATCTCTCCCTTCCTGGGGTCTCTGCTACACCTTCAGCTTCATGCCCACAGACTAACACATTGCCCTCTCGGGGGCTTCTTGCATATCTCCCAGGCCTTCCTTTAAAATCTGACTGGAAGCCTCCACAATCCCACAACTCTTCAATTCTGCCTGCCAGCAAAACCAGCACCCAGCGGGTTATGCTAAGGTCTGCTGCCCACATGAGCAGTAGCCAGGCCCCTGCTGGACCAGGGCTACAGTGGCCTACGCGTGTCTGGATGGCTGGGCGTACTGAGTTGAATCCCAGGGAAACACTTCCTGAGAAGTCTTTCTGAAAAGGGGTTCTCTTGTCAAAGGAAAGGTTGATACTTTTGTACCCTTGAATCTGTGATGGATGGGGTCTTGCTGATTCCCAGGACATCTTTTATCTTGTCCTGGCTCAAAGTACTTGGTTTCTTTTCAGTGGTCTTAATCTTTTCAGTAACCATACCTCTTTAGGTCCCAACTTTTGGTTCTTTCAAAACAAGATTTAAGGTTTTCAAGTATTTTTCCTCCTGATTTTTCACTATGAATCTGGTTAGAAGCAGCCAGATAGCCATGCTATAATCTGGATGTTGGGCTGCCTTGAAATTTCTTCCCCCAGATCAGGTTAATCCAGTGCACATAGACTCAGTTTCCCACAAAGCCACAAATGTCAGCAAAATGTAGACAGTTTTCTGCCGGAGTGTAACAGGCATGGCCTCTAGTCCACTTTCCAATAGAAACTTCATTCTTATCTGAAACCTCCCGAGGCTGGCCTCTGCTATCTGCATTCCTGTCAGTATTCTGGTCTTCTGCGCTCCAACAGAATCACCTATCAATCTCTGTTTATAGCATTTCAAGGATTTCTCAAGCTCAGTTCTCCAAAATTTTCCAGACTTTTCCAACAAACCAGTCCCAGTGGCTTCTGAACTACATGTTCAGATATTATCTCTGATGCCAGTTTTCTGTATTAGTCATATTTTATCACTGGGATCAAATACCTTACATACACAACTCAAAGGAGAGGTTTATCTTTGCTCAGTGTTTTGAGGCTCAGACATGAGTGAATGATCACAAGGCAGAAATGTTATGGTTGAAAGGGTACAGGGGACTAAAGGTGCTTAATTTGGGGGAGCTGGAGAGCAAAGTAGGGGAACAGTGCTGAGAGGAGAGGGGTAGGAACCAGCTAAGGACCCCAAGGTCCTGTGTACATGACACACACAGAAAACCAGAAGTGTGCTTTACTGATCTGCTATGTGCATTAACAGTCAAGTGATACTCATGATCAGTGGTCACACTTGCCTCCCAGAAATAAGTTCCACTTAGTTGTATTGTGTAATTCTTTAAATAATCTACTGAATTTTGTTTGTTAAATTTTATTTTATTTTGAGACAAGGTCTAGCTGTATATTCTGGGCTGGCCTTGAATTCACTAGGAGCCCAGGCTGGCTACAACTCATGGTGATCTGCCTGCCTCAGCCTCCTAAGTGCTAGAATTACAGGCTCCCACCACCACGCCTGGCTTGCTACAATTTTTGCGAGAATTGTTTGTGTTAGTAGTGACCAGGGATATTGATCTGCAGTTTTTCATGGGGATTTTTTGGTTTGTTTTTCTCATAATGTTCTCATCTGGCTTTGGAATCAGGGTAAGCTCATCTTGTGGAATGAGTTACAAAGTGTGATCTCATCTGTGTTTTTTTAATTTTGTTTTTGTTTTTTGTTTGATTAGTTTCTTTTGAATGAGTTTAAGAAAATTTGTGTTTATTCTCCTTTAAATATTTGGCAGATTTTTCTAGTAAAGTCTTATGGTCCTGGGTTTTTATTTGTTGGGGAGTTTTTGATTATTGATTCAATGTTCTTATAGACCTGTTCGGATTTTCTGTTGTCACTGTGATTCTATTTTGATGGGTTGCAGTTCTAGGTTGATTTTATCTGTGTTATCTGATAAGTTGGGACAGATTTCCTCATTGTGCTCCTGTGCGTCTGTAAACTTGTCCTCTCATTTCTGATTGGTTTGCATTTTCTCTTTTTACTTCATCAGTTTAGCTACAGTTTAGCTCATCAATTTTGTTAATAATTTCCAACTATTGCTTTTCTAGTCTGTATTTTGTTTATTTCTGCTCTGATCTTTATTATTTCTTTTTTCTGCTGTCTTTTGATTTCACTTTTTTTTCTAATTTCTTAAGGTATAAAATTAAATTGTTAACTTAAGATCTTTCTTTTTTATTATGATTGTTTATGGCTATGAATTTCCCTCTTAGTACTTTTTCATACTGCTTTTAATAAATTCGGGTGTGCTGTAGTCTCTTCTTCATTTGTCTCATTTATTTCCTAATTTCCCTTGTCATTTGTCATTCAAGAATGTTGCATTTCCACATATTTGAATTTTCTAGTTTTCCTTCTGCTGTTGATTCCTAGTTTCTTTCCACATTGATTAGAAAGATACCTCATATGATTTTGCTATTTTAAAATCTATTAAAACTTGTTTTGAAGCCTCATATTATTTGTCCCAGAGAATAATCCATATGTATTAAAAGATACATCCCACTCCACTGTTGACTGATGTGTTCCTCCAGATATGTCCCTTAGGTCCAGTTGGTCTATTTGTTATTCAGATCCTCTAGCTGCTCACTGGACTGTCTGGGTGTCATATCAAGTGGGTACTATTTTTTTCTCCATTTTATAGAGGATAAATAAAAAGAGGCAAGAGAGACGTAAAATAGCCTGCTCAATTTCATATCTATAGGTGGTAGAATTAAGATTCAATTCAAAAGCTGGGTTCTCCTCCAAACCTTGTGCTCTGAAACACAACACTAGAGATAACTTTTCATGCCATACACATGGTGATCCTCCTGCTAGTCATCCCCACGCATTTCTGCACTTGATAAGGTTCAGTAATTGCCAAATACCATACACGTGCAGCTGTATATGCGCACATACGTGTCTATATGTACATCTCTGTGTATTTCCCACCTGGCCCAGCTGTGCAACAAATCACTCCAAACCCAGTGGGTTTTGTTGCACACCTGGGTCCTGCAGGTCAGGAGTTCAGTCAGCACAGCGAGACCGCATGCGTGTGTCCTCAACATGGGGGGGGGGGTCTCAGCTGGCAGCTGGCATCGTGTAGAGGCTCCCAGGCTGACCCGAGAGAGCCTAGGCTGGGATGAGGGGAAGCCCTGGGTTGCTCGCTGCTCTTGGCCTCCACTCGAAGCTTGGATCCCTCATGGTGCAGAGCCCAGGGCAATCCACCTCCTCAGGCAGCTCTCATGCTCCAACTGCAAGGGTCGTGCCATCTCTTCTGATCCAGCCTTGGAAATCACCAAACATCAGTTCTACTGCCCTGGGCTGCTCAGGGGGTCCAGCTCAGCGAGTCCGGGGTAGGGAAGCTGTTCCCAACTGCTTACTGAGGGGATGCAGGAGGGTCCCCCTGCAGGGGAATAAGTGGGATGCAGAAACCACTGTGGCCACCTTTGGGGTTACATTGGGCCCCATGTGTCCTGTCACCCTCAGCCCACTAATTGTCTGCATCTGTCTGGACTCAAGTCCCCTGGTGTCTGCGGATTCTCACCAGCCTGCCCCTTCCACAACCCCTTTAAGACTGGTTCTTTGAGTGTCTGTCTCTCCTGGCCCCCACCTTGCCTCTAGGAGAACCAGGATTTACACAAGGAGCAGTGGGCCTGTGACAGTCTCTGCAAACCCCAAGTAGGGAGGTTTGGTACCCCCTTTCCTTCTGGAACTCTTGACATCCTGTCCAGCAGGCTGGACACATACAAATCATCCAGTGATGGAGGGAAAATCCACAAGCTCTTAAAATATGAAGCTCTCTAAATACAGGTTTTCAGACTTGTATCCCTAAGATATTCAAACATATGCATGTTTCTAAAACCTTAAAAGTCACAAATGTTATTTAGAAATTCAGCCCATTCAACCAAGCAAGTCACAGGATGGCACTGGAAATGTGACCCTTCAAAGTGCACCTGGGCATTTTGGCAAAGTATTTCCTTTAGCTGAGGTTCTTATCTTTTTCTCTCAGGGCAGTCACTATCAATGATTAACTACAGAAGAATCAGACATAAATTATAGATTAGCATTGCTAGAGGAAAAACACAAGGAGAAAAAGGGAGCCAAGCCAAGGTCTCCTCTGTCAGCCCCACCCAGCGAGCACCATTTCCTCATTCTGGGCAAAAAACCACCCAGGCACCTCTAAGAACCTGGGGATCGGCATCCGCTTATTTCTATTTATGAAGTGGAGAAAACCAGGTAAGACTATGAAAGCATACGTAACAGGATTTCAGCATTTATCGTGTCTCACTGATGTCTGAATCAAGACATTTCGTTTTAAAATGACCCAGGTGGCTATGTCACTTAGCTTTTACTTTGAGAAGAAAAAGTCATGTGATCCCATGCTTAGGCTAGAGTTTGGGGTGTTTATTAATAATAAGGCAGTTTTCACACATACAGGGTGCCAGCAGGGACAGGACATGTATGTGGTTCTGTTGGTCTCTTTACAGAATATTCTTTTTAAGTCGTCATACTGTTTCTCGCTGCTGAAAGAACATGAGTTTCAGGGAGTTTTCACTCGGGTTTTTATTTCAGCCTTTGCACGGCTTCCTGCGGCCTGTGAGCAGAACTGGAAACAGAGCAGGCCTTTCAGGGATTTGGATGGATCCCTCATTCACAGTCTCTTGCTCACTGGGTTGGAAATCTTTTATTATTGTTATTACTGTTATTAATTATTATTGTTATTGCAGTTCAGGAGGTTGAACTCTGTCGTCTCACTGATCTATTTCCCAGCCCTTTTGTGAGACGGGGGGATGTCTCTAAATTGGGCTTTCATTGTTCGGAGAGGGGATCAAGCCCAGGAGGTAAGAATGGTGGTGAAACATTTCAGGAGAGGATGAAACTTGGTGTGAAGTGAACCCTGGTGGAGGAAATGGCAGTTTGCAGCGTGAGAACACCTGGCCCTTGTGCAGTTAGATGTGACAATCTGTGCACGTCTTTGCCACAAGGGTAAAGGCTTTGCATTTGGAAGACTGAGCCAGAAACCAACAAACAGATTGGCAGAATCTCGTGTTTTCTTTATTACATAAAAGATGCCAGTTGTTTTTAGTAATAGCTCCTTTGGATATTTTTGGGTCATTGCCCATGTAAGGTTGATCTCTCCAATTCTGGGACTCCAGACCCCTTGAAGGTAATCCCTCCGCGCCACCACCAATCTACAGCATGCAGACACTAAATCTTTACCCTAGGACTGGGTGTTTGGCTCAGTGGTAGCCTATGTGCTTATGTGGGAGCTATGGAAGAGTGCTTCAAAGACCAGGGCTTTGGAGGACCCTGGGGACTTGGTTAGCACATGCACCACACAGTTAATACACAAGAATGTAAATATGTGATAACAGCATATGTAACAACCAAACAAGAAAGATGCTTGCTGTTTTTGCTGATGTTGGCTCTGTGTTCATTCTTTTTCCTGGGGAATCTCACCCATGAAAACACCCCTTTGGCCCTCTGACCCTGACATGTGTACAAAGCCTTGAATTCAATCCCCAATACTGAAAAAAGAAACAGGAAAAAAAAACTTTACTATTTAAAATTGTTGTCCCATCATTATATTCTATTGAAGCATACAAAAATCTTAAACATAGTTTTCGTCGTCATGGGGAGACACAGAACACGACACAGTAGTTGCAATCTTGGGCTCGAGAGTCGCCACATTTGGGTTCACAGATCTACTCTGTGATTAACTGATTTAACAAATTTTATCAAATGCAATTTTTCAGGCACAGCAAACCAACTTTCTCTGCCCTTTTCCTGCTTTATCCCTCTTCATAACACTTTCAATATTTGGCATTTATTTATTTGTTGATTTCGTTAGTTTCTCCCTCCTCTGCTGTTAAAGAGAGCAGATCCCAAATTGAGTCACTTTGGTTAAATTCCACATTTTCAAACTGAAACGTAAGTCATTTGCTTGTCATAGCTGCCTTTCTAAAACATCAAGAGAAAGATGAGAGCCAAATCCCAGAAAACCAAGATTTTACTTGCATGGCTAGAAAGAAAGCAACCTAGAAATGACCAATCTGTTCTTCGTCCCTAGATTTTGCCCTTCTCTGTTTTTCTGCTATAAAATGCACCTGCTCTGCTTAGCTCTCTGGAACATCTTTGCGTTTCCAGACTGGGATACCCCCTTCCAGAATCTCTACCAAAAGCTTTTCCCCAGTGCTAGGGAGCATCCATGTATTTTAGTATCATTGAGGACTCTTGGAACCACATCCCTACAGACACAGAAGGGTGAATGTACATGTTCACTGCGTAGAGCAGTGTTGGAAATCTGAGACTTAGGCAGGGGTGGTAGCACATGATTATAATCCCAGTTATCTAGAAGGCTGAGGCAGGAGAATCACAATTATTTGTGCAATCTAGCCACACCCTGTCTCAAAAATTAAAATATGTAAAAAGGGCCTGGGATATAGTTTAGTAGCTAAGTGCTCCCTGGCTTTGATACCTGGTACGACAAGAAATAAAAATTCTGAGATTTTACCCTCCTTGAAAGCAAAGTTAGCCTACTACGACTTTGTGTAAATGGCATAAGGCAGAAGATGCAGGACTGGAGACCAGGACTTCATTCACCACGAATGTCAGCATCAGTATCCATCCCGTGCCTCAGGTTCCTAGAGGGTGATAGAAGGTGGGTCAGGTGCCGCCTGTCTGGGCCATAGAGAACTGCAGTCTACGGGCCTCTGCAGCCCAGGCCGGGGATGCTGGGGAGAGGACCTGCTTCCCGGGTCGGGCAGGAGGAGGTAGGAGTCCAATTGGCATAAAAGGCACCAAAGGACCCAAAGTGATCTATCTGCCCCAGGCGGCAGCTTCCAGAGCAATGGTGAAGACACAGGCCGCACTTGGGTTCCTCTCCACTGGGAACCAGGCCGACTAAAAAGTGGGTCCCAGCCGTCCATTAGAAAGGCCAACTTCCTCTCCTGCATTTCTTCCTTTCTCTCCTCCGTGAAGAAGGTAAGGGAAGCTGGTAATGCCCTTTTGTTTTGATATCAAGAACTAGATCTCCCTTTAAAAATGGGACGGCCAGCAGGGCACATGCCTATACCCCAGCACTAGATGGCTGAGGCAGGAGGGTTGCAAGTTCCAGCTCGGCCTGTGTAATGGAGTAACTTAGGGAGATCCTGCGTCAGAATAAAAAAATAACAGTTGGGTGTGGCTGCAGCTCAGTGAGAAGGCCCTGGGTTCAGTCTTCCAGCACGGGGGTGGGGGGTGGGGATAAAGAGTCCTTGAAAAGCAGCTGACGTCTTCTGTTATGAAATCAAAAACAGTTTGTTTTCTCATCCTACGGAAAGGCAAGACAGCTGAACAGCAGCTCTGAGCAGACCTGAGATACTGTGAGCATCTGTGGGGTTTGCGGGTTCCCTTTAAAGGCCATCCTGTCCGGGTTTCCTGCGTGCTTACTTCACTCCTCCTGTGATCTATCAGGTGACAACCGACAAGGGCGGGGAGAACAGGTGCAGAGGGGGAGTCCCCGGAAATAACCCGACCTCTACTGCAGACGCGGAGGCCCCGGCCGCTCTGGCTCTCGAGCGCCACCCACGGGCGCTCCTGGAAGCGCAGGTCGCGAGGGCGGAGCCTGCGTTTTAATCAGCGGCCCGAACCCAGGCTGGAGCTGGGGTGGAGGTGGGGGATATGGTTGTTAAGGCTGCAGTCTAGTGAGGATCCCCGAAACCCCTCACATCAGTAAGGCTTCTTAAAGCATAAAAGTAGCGATACCAAGCTATTTGGAACTGTGAACAAGTTTCCAGAAATTTCTGTCCCTGCAAGCCCCCCTTATCTCCCTCAAATCCAGACTGCATCTACTTTTGAAGGACAAAGCAGGAGAGTCGCTCTTCCCGGGATACATACCTTAACATTAAAATTCTGCACTTCTACTTTACAAGGAAAGTTCTACTTAATGAGTAACTTTCATAGCTGGTTACTTATTGACCGATTTCTTCCCAGAGGCTGATGCCGGGTTATGTATTTATACCACTTCTCATGCAAAGCCTACTCGACTGGGTTTTATGCTTTTAAAATCCTTTCATTGCTTTGGCACAAACAGACAGGGTCACTGCTGGTGAGAATGCAGCCGTGCAGACACTTCAGGGGCATCTTTATGGACGGACAGTGTATCTTTCCCAGATGGGGTGGCCTTTGTGGCTGGAACCAGGTCAGCCTCCCTGAACAGCTCCTGCCTCCTACCCACAGAGTGTGCACCCCCCGGACCCTGCTCTGTGTGCCCCTGAATTTATTTAACAAATATTTTGCAACTCTGCTAAAATAGGTAAAACCATAACTTTAATGCCCATAACTTTTATGCCCATAGAGAAGGGATGCATGTCCAATTCTTCATCCAGCCCATTAATGAAGGAGGTAGCCAGTGGGACATTAATATTGGTTCAAGGAGCATTTTTACAGCTGGATACTTTGAACAATTTAATAAAGGATTGTTAAGATATGGCTGGTAAGTCAGATTTTTAAAACTAATATTCTACAAGGCAATACATTGTGAATTTGGGGGCCATTTTTTTCCAGCAGAAATTATTGGCATCTCTATCAGAACTTTTGAGGTTAACTTTTAAAGGTTAATGAAATAGTGCACTAGGTAGAAAGTAGGTCACATAAATCTTGCATTGTACCAAAAGAACAACCAGAAATCTCTTTGCTGTTTCCAGTTTTTCATAATTATATTAATAAGTCTCCCTCACTTTCAGTTAGAAATAATTTTCAAAGATTATTCTTGGTCATAGAAAGGCTGCTGTTGCTAGGTTTGGTTGGCTTGATTATGTGCAGAGGCACAGAAAGAAAAGTAATTCACTGGTTTTTTTGTTTGTTTTGAGATAGGGTCTTGCTGAGTGGTTCAGGTTGGCCTTGAACTCACGACGATGTTCCTGCCTCAGCCTCCCCAGGGCTGGGATCACAGTTGTGCACCTCTGCATCCAGCCGCTAAGTATTAGGTCAACTTGAGTTTATGGGCAAACTCATAGCCGCCCATGAAGGAGCAGTTACCAAGCCCTGCACATCACAGCTGCAGTACTGACCAGGCCAGACCAGGAGAAAATCACTCTCAAATACAGTGTACCGTTCCAGGTATGGTTTTGACTGCACAGACAATTTTTCCCATTATTTTATGAAAGAAAAGTAAAAAGAAAAAACAAACAGACAAAAAAAAAACAGGGCAAATTATTACTGAACTTTACCAATAATGATATCATTATGGAATG